ATGTTTAAAAAGTTAGCCTACTAAAGAAAACAGTCGACTTCTTGTGAAGGTTTTGGAGAAATATGTATCAGTTCGTTTTATTTGGGTATTCAATAATATCCTTGGTGATAATGCTGACTCCATGGCTTCTGACCCCAGAATTGCTGTAAGAGAAAATTTTTTTTTTAAAGAAAAAACATCAATAAGCCACTCAAATTGCTTTTAGGAAATGACAATGAATCTAATTCAGAGTAAATGCTGGAAATAAATTATACTTGTCATACCTCTGATTTCTATCAAACCAGATTTAGTTTTATTATCCCATTATTTATCAATACACATTACAAAAAGAAACACATCATGACTTGGTTAGTTTACACAATTAATTAAGAACTGTATATTAAAATATTACTTCATTAAAAATAGTAACTTATGGCAAACTCAAAATCTATTTATGGACTACAACAATTCATACCTTGCCTTATTAAGGTTTACAAACACTTCAATCCCTGGACAAGATCTTTTTGAGACTGATTTTTACTCAAAATACAATTAATGTACATAATCATGTAAGAAATTACTTACACCCTGCTGCCACTGGTTGTAGCCCTGAGATTGATTTTTATAGCCACGATTGTTTCCTCGTCCTCTGAAGTTCTACAAAAAGGAAAAAAATCTTTTAAGAAGTCTTAACCCAAGAATTTATCATGCCTGCAGGGATCCTGATTGGGAAGTGGGCAGAAATGGACAACTTGCTAGACATTAATTTTGGGAAATAGCCCTAGGTACCCTTCTGCAAGTTTCTCATAGATTTTTAAATCTTTGTAAAAATTCACCTGTTTTTGCTACTTAGTGTACCTGAAAAGCCAATAAATGAATTTGTTTTACCATTACTATATTAAATTTTTTCTCACATCAATGCAAACACACCATTTTCCATAGTTGCTTATTGAGGTTCCTCAACATTAGCCTATAATTTTGTAGACTAAATTATAGACATCAGTGCCGCTTTATCATTACCTGGTTATAGTTCCCTCTGTTGGGCATTCCACCTCTGTTGTAGTTCCCTCTGTTTGAGTAGCCACCTCGGCCAGGAAAAACAGGGCCACGAGGGTATGGATAGCCAATTCCACCACTTCCACCGCCACCACCACCTCTCTGTGGCATATTGCCCCGCCTATTATATC